CTCTTTCCCCAACATACACCATTGGCCTGATTTCTTCCTCTAACCCACAAACTAACAGATCATTTAAACAGTCAAGGAAATAAATACATCTGTGAAAATGAACTATCACTTTAAAGAAAACCAAACTTTAACTGACTATAAATGTGTAAATGTTCAACATGTCCACAAAAAACAACTTCTGAACTACAGAGCTCATACAAATTACAAAGCTATCATCATCAATCTTATCCAGTATAGTTGTATAGATCCTGAAAATAATATAACAAACTGAATTTGCAGGCCATTTTTAGAACTGAACATGTCAATATTTATTCTTGTAAAAAGTCAAAAGTAGTAACAATTTTTTTCTGCTGGCGTTACTAGGCCTACATGAACTAACTAGCTGTGTAGGTGTTTCTAGGAGGAAGCTCTGTTGTGTGCATACACATATTTACTACAAAAACCAAGTAAACCTTAAAAGCTTCTTGCTAATGTAGAACACAAAATTAAAACTAAAAAGCATTACTATATGTAAAGATGGATCTGAAAGACTATGACCAGAGAAATGTGATTACTAGAAAAAAAGAATATGCTTTAGAGGAGTTAAGATATTCTAAATGTCTAAACTGTTTGTCTCTACACTTCTTTTCCTCACTTTCCAAACCATATCACTTATACAGTACACTGATTCTTATTATTTGGTAACAGATAAGCTATCAGTTTTTAAAGCTAACCAACAAAATACCGTTTCATTTCAGTTTTGATAAAATATTTCAGCAAACAAACTCAAGTAATGATGCTTGGTAATAAAATTTGTTACGTGATAAGCATAATCAATACTCTCCAGATTCCGATTTTTAACAGCTATCAAAAAACCGAGGCAGCGTTCAAATTCCAAATGCTTCTGGTTTATTTTCATTTTGAAGAGGTGGGCTGACACAACTGTTTTGTTGTGTGGTTTAGCACCAGGTAACATACACATTTATCTGCGTGTGTAAACCCACAAGAAAAGCACTCAGCAAAATTCCACTATTAATATTTGGTGGTATCCTGCCACAGGCAGATTATTATAATTTAGTCTCAGTGGGTAATTGCAGAGGCTACTGTTGTGCAAATACTTCCTCACATCTTCAGCTTTACTTCTAACTTTATTCCATGATACATGTCCTCAGATGATATCAATTCCATCGCTCTGATCTGCCTCAGTGAAATTACACTCGTAACTAAAAAGACACATTTTTGCAAGAACAAAGTCTTAAAATCTGTTCTTCTGCAAAACATTAAGGAGTGCAAAGTTTGGCAAGAAAGCACCCATAATGTTAAACAAATGTAAAGCACAAAGTGGTAATCTCAGAACTAATGCAATATATTAAGAGAGAGGAGTGAAAAAAAAAAAAAAATACAAGTGTACATAGTACATAATTCATATCACATTATAACTGGGATTTGAAGAAATGGCAACAAAATTTGGGATAAAAGAAATTACAATTCAGAACAGTATTTTAAGATGGGAGAATCGTTTATGCTTATATAAATAAAACAAATTCAAAGCTACCAGAGAAACTATAAGGGAAAAGGCCACTCACTTTCATACCAAAATATTCAGTCTACCTAGTCACTGTATGCTCAGAATCACTCATGAGTACACAAGAGTAATTTTCTATACCTGAGAAGAAGTGTGCCTTGAAGCCTTTTTTTGACACAGTGTTGTCAGATCTGAACTCAATTCGCATGTTGTTGTACTGAGAGGTGATAACTTCAGGCACTTCTGTACCACAGAATTTACCATGTAGTTTAGAATCAGAAGAAAGGCCACTACGAATCTCCACATAATCATATTTGCAAACCTGAGAGAAAGAAAAATGTCTCAAAAGAAAAGCATGAAGTTGTTTACAAATGTAAGAATTCTGATTGGTATATGCTGCTTAATAATAGATTAATAGGGTTTGGGCTTTTTTCACTTTTTCCTGACACTGAAAACATTTGTAAAGGCTTACAAACATTCACCAATTTGTGTAAGAATATTTTAAGGTCACTAAGGCATAGCTATACTATGCATGACATTCAAAACTATATTTTCATGGACACTAATCTGTGATTAGTTTTAAATCTCAAGATGCTCGTAGTATTTCCATTTAATCTGAAAAATAAAAATTCTAGTGACATTAGATTAAAATCTAGAAATATTCACCCTAAAAGTTATACCTACCTTTGTGCTACAAACCACATACCCAGAACCTTCAAACCTTCTACTGCTTGCCTCTCATAGATTATTATTTTTTTTTAATATTATTTTTCACTTAGAAACATACAAGTTTTTACCATAACGTACCTATGACATATTCATCTATTTACAAATACATTAATCTGCACTCTAAAACTATGCATCTTTCTTTAACGGTAGCATAGCTACAGTTTGGAAGGCTGATGCTGTGATGCATGTCATTTCCATTAAAAGGTAAAATATAAAGTAAAATAATGTAATAAAAAGCCTTATGCAAGACCTACTACTCGTGATAATACTTTCAATGCATAATCCCTTGGTCGACCTAAAGCCTTACACCCAGAACTTCTAAGCTTCTTAGGCTCAGCTATCAATCATTTAATCAAAAATGTCCCAGTTGTCTGCAATTAATAGCTTACAAGAAAACAGTGGCCAGGAGGATTCATACAGAGCTTAGACTGCCCGTAAAATCCAAGTTGTATCGGATAAATCACAATTTCTAGCCAAAAAAAAAACGTCGGGGGAGCTGGAAGGGAACTATTGAAAAGGATGTTTTGGACTTTGTTGCTCTCTCTCCCTAGAAAATATGAAATGATTGTCAACATTCCCAATTGTTTTTAATATAATATATTCTAAATGTAGGTTAAATATTCATTGTTATTGGAAAAGATTTCATATGTTGCAGAGCTGGAAAGTGATTAGTTTACTTGAAGCTACTTTTATACAATATAAAGAACACAAACATTCATAAAACTTGAGTTCCTGCCACATTCTGATTTACATTAATTGTAAGATAAATTCATACTAATGCATGTGATTTTCAAATATCTCTCACCACATTAATAAATCCCAGCAATTTCAGCAAAGCATCAGTGGTGAATTTGGATGGTTTCATAGCTTTAGATTAGAAATGAAATGTAATTTCAGATCTAACTTCCTTCACACTACACTATATTTAAAAAAAAATTACAGGTTAAATGTGAAATTGAAATTTTAAAATGAAAAATATTAAAATGGTAATATTGTAAAAGACACATTCAACTTATTCTAATGGAGCTCCTATAACAAAAAAAAATATATATAAAAAAATAACGCATTTGCTAAATGTATACATTTTATGTCTGCACTCAGATACTATATTAGAATGTTCCAGGTACTGTATGTTTCTTCTGATTTTCAAAGGTACCATTCTTAGTACTAACATTTAACAGTATAAAGCTCAGATTTAGTAGCACAGGAGAGGATCAAACCAAAGTTTTCAATGTTCAAAACCATTATGTATATATTTTTCATATCTGCTTGTGTCATATGAGTATGACCTTAGAAAACTGATTTAACTCGAGGCGTATTCCTTGAAAATGTGGCTTAAGTACCAAGAAAGCGTAGGAAAAATATTTTATGGTTTGTTCAAATGGTAATTAAATTTTAATTCTTTGGGATGTGTAAGGTTTTATTACACTTTTCTTGTAATAATCATGACAAAACATGAGTGTAACGTATAAATTATTAAAAATCGGAATTTCATGGACTTTAGAACCTACCCCAAACTATTAAAAAAAAAAAAAAAAGTAAGAAAGATCTCACATTGCTGCCTCTGCAAGCAATTTTGAGATCTTTTTGATAAGCCATGGCTGGGTTGTTTCTTAGTTATAAATTAAACTCTAGCTTTTGCCATTTCAGATCTCATGCCCAAAACATGGCCCATACTTGTATCAAATACATTGCGACAAATATGTGTAGTTGGAAATAATGTCCCGGAATTTGGGTTCTTTATACCACGTGAAGTATATCCAGACCAACCCCATGGCTACAGCACATCATGGCTACAACGTGGCAGGGGAACTCAATGGTACAACTGCACATTGTCTAGGAAGAACAGAAGAGGCTGAAAAATTGATGCTGACACCTGTACATTACTGATTCTCACCCCCAAAACACTTCAACCCCCACTACTTTTTTTAAAGCTGTAGGAAGCAGCCCTTACCACATGGAGGAGGACTCTGCCCTGCCCCTCTTCCCCACCTGGGGATGAGATCACCATGCCTCTGGGGGCTGCCCAGCATAAACACTGTTGCTATTCTTTTATGCCTTATTTCTGGTACTTCTTTTAAAATATCCCCCTCCATGAGATACTTCTAAGTGATTTAAATGCTCTCTCACTCCATCACTAACCACAGCTTATGTGTTTTCTTTGTAGTCATAGTCTGTAAAGATGATTTGGTTTCTCCAGATTTTCTTCTCTTGAATTCTTTCCAGTATGTCTCAGCCATTTGCTCTGTTTTACTTTGTTGATAAAAAAAAGTCAGCTGAGACTCAGCAGAGAACATTACTTTTAAATTTCTTGTAATACATATACATTTAGATGATATGTAAAAGAGAGCTATTCTCTCCATGTTTGTTTTGAAATAATCCAGAAACAGTCCCAAAATGAAAACAAGAATATCTATGGTTATTGTCAGCATATGAAAGGTCAGCAAGGGTTTTATAAGGCAATATCTATTTTGAAAGTTTGTGAAACTGTTTAGTGTGTAACAGATTGTGCAGCTTTTTGTTCACGGTTACTTACTTCATTCCCTTCTAACTCAAAAAACTCAAACTTCATTGAAATTTGGTATTGAGTTGGGGCAACCACCTGCCACACACAGTTTTTGTTTGGAGGATACTCTTTGGGCCACCCTGGTGTGGTTATAGTCCCATTTAGCTTTGTCAGGAGTCCTCCACAGGCAGCTGCAAAGTTAAAAGGGAGAGCATTATGTGACTGAAACTGTGTTTTACTATAAACAGAAGCATACTAAGAAGATTCAATCCTCTCATTACTTATACTGCTGTAATGCCCAGACAGAGTAATCAGAATCTTGTTTTATCATACTTGGTGCAAACAAAGAGAAAGAGACAGCTCCTATCTTGAACAGCTTGCAGGTTTGCAAACAGAGATAAGTTTCAGGACTACACAAGGCGTTATCATATTCATTCTTTTCCCTTCCCTCCAGACACTCTGGTTATTCTCTCACAGCCTTTCCCATGTAAGTCCTCTGATCCCACTGCCCTCCCCAGGACCTTGACCACCACTCTTCTGACAGACTACTTAAGATGCGCTTCACATTTCCCCTGCTTCTCTCCTTGATTATTAATCCAGAATCAGCCCTACCTGTCTCAGCTCACACAGCTGTATATGCCTCCCATAACCTAGCAGATAGGGTCACTTCTTTGGGATAGCAGTCACCTACTCTTCAGTCACAATTACTTTTGCTGAAGTATGCGTGTTCAAGTAATAGAGAAAATACTTGCTATTCCTAAGTATATGCCAAATAGTCACCTTTGTACAACGGAACAAGACTATATTATGTTTGTGAATGCAGTTTAGATAGCAAAAGATAAACACGTTAATCTTTTCCATCTGTGGAATTTTATTTTTTTTTTTAAAGGAGAGTAATGGGATTTGCAGGGGTTCTTGATCACACTCTGCTGCACTGATACCATTACAGCACTGTGACAACACTGGAAATCATCCACACATCTCTTCTTAAAGAGCTGGGGTGGGAGGAAGCTCCACCTTTACCCAACAGTTCTGTGCTAACACCGAATGCTTTAAAAACTGGCTATTCCTGTCTAGCTGATGGTCTCACACACTGCATCTACTTCATCCAACACACCTGGGAGAACTCTCCAGTTTCAGGGCTCATTTGGCCAACCCAGACCCATATCAGTCTTCCTTCTGGCACCAGGCTTCCCCAGCTTCCTGTGCGGAAGGCTTCTGAGTGTACACGTATAGGCAACCCAAAAGGGGTGGGAGGTCATGCCTCAGCATATCAAAAAAGGGTTAGGCACTAGAGACTGCAGTCAGATGATAAAAGATATATCCCCAAATGATCCAGTCTAGGGCAGGATGGCTGTAGCTAGATTTCAATCTCTGCTTTTCAGCGTTACTCCATTGTTCCTTGAGGCAATGGCGTGAAAAGTGGAAACATGATAAAAAAAATCTTTAAGCTTTCTAATGCGCTTTCAGTGGGGGAGATTTGGATTAGCACAAAGATTAGACTGCAGTGAAGCATTGGGCGGAGTTTCTGAGTTAGAGGCTTCTACTCTGGTATCATGTGTGAATTAATACAGCTAGGTCACCCCTCAAGTGACCAAACTATAAGTGGGATGCAATGCTCACTGTGATAACACAGTGATTTTAATTCAGCAGTCCCAAGTAGTATCTACATACAGTGAGTGCTACATCACATGGAATATGAATGCTTTTAGAGATAGCTCAGGTTTTCTGCTCCACACTGCACTACTCTGATTTACTTCTGTTGCCAGAGTTGCTTTTCTGTTTGGAAAGGGGGAAGAGTTTTCTGAAGACTAATAATCTTCCTTAATACTCTGACTCAGGACAGCAGGCAGACTAGCCCAAATTCTTTACATAAATTTGGGCTGATGATCAAAGGCCCAGAGATCAAACCTCTGTCTTCATGGCCCCACCTTAGATTAACCTTACTTTCTGCATCCTGTCTAATATGCAGATGTCTAAATACATCTTTTTTCCCAGAGTCACCATTACTAAAGTTGGGGGAGCAACACCAACTAAAAAAACAACCAGCTTGATGAAAGCCACAATCTAACATGTCCATAGTCTAGGACTATCACCGCCTCACACAAACACCCCACCCCACCTCCCCCAAACAAAACCAAGTCCACAGAGCCAAAACCAAAGAACAAAAAGTGAAAAGAAACTGAATAAAACTACCCCAAATTGTGACAAATCATGAATTAAAGCAGGGAGGAGAGGAAGGCAGGGGAAGAGAAGGAAACACCAGTGAATCGCATCCAAACAAAACCATAACTCCAGGCACTCCAATTTTCAAACTCCATTCCCTACTCAAACAGATGAACTGAAATAAGAATAATCTGTGCTATCCCTGTATTTATTGGTGTTTATGATTAAAAATCAAACACTAATTGGTGCATAATGATCAAGAGCTTTTGCTTCTTTCCTTTGATATGAAATACGTAGAGAATACAAAAGCTTATCTCAGTCTAATCCTATGTTTACACAGACTTCCACTTACCAGGGTTTTATTTCTCCAAATGATTATTTGAACATGCTTTGCTCATTCTGAAAAGTAGAATTTGTTTCCAGCAAGAAAACTCCACAGTCTGACTGGGAGTGGGGAGGATTCCTGTGAGCTTTGATCTAGATTAAACAATCCTGCACTTCAAACCTGCCAGCTCCCCAGTCCCACCCCAATCAGAGGTAGTCAGAGGGATCACTAAATTCAGAGACAGTAGCGCAATGCTCTGCTGATAATTGTTTCCTTATGCATGGTGGAAGACTTGGCTTTAGTGAGTATGAATAATGTAACAAGTGGTTTAGAAAGGTACAAAGTCCAGCTTTGCATTGCTCCCAACAGACTAACAGCAAAACCTGTAAAGCTAAATTAGTGACAGACATCCAATGAACATGACTGCTGTGGACAGACGTTACTTTGGCACCGCTACTTAAAAGGGAGCACTGGTTTTCCAGGTTGTCCCCCACAGATCTCACACTGCTAGGACAGAGCACATGAAAAGTATAGCATTCCATTCAGCAATGGCACTCTGTGAGGTTTAGGAGCTCATAAAACAGCAACATACTGTACCTTCACAGCTCTTTTTGTCAGGACCAAGTTCATAACCAGGATCACAGGCGCACTGGTAACTGCCCAGAGTATTTACACAGCGCTGCTCACAGCCACCATTGTCAGGTTTGGCACATTCATCTTCCTCTGCCAAGACAGGGAAGAACGCAAAAATGTGTTAAATAATTACCTTCCTGAGCTGCAATTCCTGGATCAGTATTAACCCAGAAAGTCGTATGCATGCCGTTATAAGGCACACGGCATAACACACTGCAGTTGCTGACTAGAGGATTTTCAAATGCTAAGGAGACCTGCAATGGAAAAAATAAAAAATTGTCTTTTCTGAGGTTTGGGTGGGGTTTTGTACAATACCTCCTGACAGATACAGACCTAATTTATAAACACTTCGTGGGCAGCATGCAATAATTGAGGCACCATAATCTAAAGGTTGTATAAAGTATTGAAAGAAAGATTGAAAATCCACAGCAGGGTCACTTGAAGGGCACTTTATCTCCCACAGAATCAATTTGCGCATTACCCCAAAGTCATACTCAAAAACAGATTAACAGAATCCTCAAATCCCAGGTTTTCATTCTACTGATATTAAAGGGAACAAGATGCATCAGGGATGGGGGAGGGAAAGGAATAATATATTATCTGTACTAGCTCTGAAGTATACCCATGAGATTCATTGTTAAAATATTCCTCAGATGTTGAAATATTGTTTCCTTACACCAGGAAAAGTAATTTCTTAGGAACGAAACACAGCTTCCACTCTCACGTCTACAGCCTTTGAGGTTATAATTGTCTACAGTAAAAACTAACAACAGGGTGAGAAAATCCCCAGCTTGTGCAAAAAGGTTCTCCTGATGGCATTGTGACACCTGTGTTTTGGGTGTCACCGTGACCACACCACTGCTTTCACTGTGGCTTTCACTGTACCATTGGCAGCACAGGATGGGAATTACTCCCCATGCCCCAAGTGCTGCAGGTATCACTGCAGTTGTATCACACACCCCCCAAAACTGGAGGAAGACTGTAAGGCCATTTGTCACTATGATTTCTCAGCTATTTTGTGGTGGTTTTTGTCTTGCTTACAGGAAGCAATAAATTGTTAAAGCTGCCTCATGCAGCAAACAGACTAGAAAAAACAAATTTAGACAAAAGGAAAAAAAAAGACCCATTTGTGATTATACTATTTAACTTCATATTTGATAACATAATGCCAAAAAAGAGCCATTTTTATAAGAATAGATAAGTTTCAAAGGTGTTTCAAGACTAAGCTTATTATTTGAATGGAGTAGGAAGTTGCACTGGGTATGTTCCTTGATTCTTTGGACATATTTTATAAGGAGACTCAAATATCTTTTACTGTTTTGTTTTGATAAAATTGTATGCCCAGGTGAAAAATATGCTAGAGACAGTAAAGAAGTGATATGAGTAAAACCAGGTTGAGAAATATTATTAATATCCTATGGGAGGGGTTGTTTGTTTTTGTTTGTTCGTTTCCTAGTAAAACAAAAGTGATAAGCAGCTCACAGCTTCCAAAATATACTTTTACATTTACCTTTAAAAAAGTTAGCTGCAAACCCCGCTTTGTTAACAGTTCCATCAGAAACAAACTTCATCCACAGGGTATTAGAGGTAGATCTAATGTCTTCTGGTTTGTCATAGCCACAGAAGTGACCAATTAAAGGACTGTTCTCATTTGTTCCATCTCGAATTTCCAAGTAATCATATGCACAGTTATCGTGCCTTTCAATCTGTAAAAAAATATTTTTAAAGTGACCTATTTGAACTTGACCATAAATATTAAATATCAATCAGATAATAAAAAGCATTTTCAAAGTTAACGTTAGGATTCCCTGTTTGGGGTTCAAATATCAGGAAGATGAACAATCATCATTGGACTGTTTTTAACTATACTTGTTTCCACAAGAAAAATTTTTTGAGAAGTTACACAGGACAAAACAGTCTAATTGGAAAAAAAAAATAGCTAAAAGACACTCTCACTTCTAGCTTCCTAATGTTCCATCATATTCCTACTCTGAGCAAAAGCAAAGTCCTCTTTTCTCATGTACTCTCAAGTACACAAAATTAAATGTTCAAGAACACAGCAGGTCAGAAAGATTGATCTGTTTTGAAATATTAAAAAGCTCAATTTTAATCAGTATGAGTAAGATTTTTAGACATTATCAGCCTGTGCTATTTCAGGTGATGATCAATATTTTATTTTCTTCCTCTAAGAAATCTATCATTTGACTAAGTGGCTAAATTTTAAGGCAGGTTTAGGGATGGGGAGCAGGACAACAGTCAGGAAAAAAGGGTTGAAGAAGCTTCAAATCTAATTTAGGTCAACCAAATTTTGTTAAAATGACAAAGAAGCCAAAACAAAACCCAGAAAAATCCACAGCTTATCTCCAAACAGAGTGTTTCTTGCACATAAACTGCTCAGTTAGTACAAGTGGCTGCTGGTACTCTGCTCTAATTGTCCATGATACCAACACTAAGCTCAGTAACCACCACAGACTAAGGAGGTTTCAATTAGCACATCAGGGTTACTGCTTATTTTATGTCAGAGAGAAAACTGGGGGAAGGGGCTGTTTGATTTTGCTTCATTATAATAGCATCAAAATACAGCACTTACACACACACAAAATTTGTCTGTCTTCTTTCCAACTTTTCAATTCTTCAAGCATTTACATATGTAATTTTCTCCCACTCATTTCTCTGGCACAATCCATATTGCCATTTATTGTAATTTCTTAGCTGTTTGCTCAGGAATTGCTTTGGGCCAGAGTTTGGGAAATGAGTGAGAAAAGTTATGAAGATCTGGGATGCAACCTCCTACTGCTGACTTCAATAGCAATTGCACGCTCACAACTAATGCAGCCAGGCCTGAGCACTGATAAGTTTTTGACACTGTAATACCAATTCCAAATTTTCATTAATCTAAGTAATTAAGTTTAAACACATGACATCCTATTGCAACTTGAAACAAACTCTGCCTTGTTATCTCAGCAAAAAATCATATTGCATTCTGATGTAGAAAGAAGTGACCTGGTCCTCTAATATCAATGAAAGAATTGAGTATTTTCTCCAACATGTCTGTGGTCATTTTGCTACTCAAAACTTTTAATTAACATCTGTTTTTTCCATGTTTCCATGTTCTATGGGGCAATATGGAAATTATGATTTTTTCACAGGCCAAGTCCTTCTCTGAGTTACACATACCAAATTCCCATTGAGTGGAATTGTTAGTTTCTTTTCTGAGAATCACTGTGTTCTTTTGGCAGAAGACAACATCTAAAAATACCTTCTGTATAGCAGTAAGTTGTAAACTTCCTAAGACTATAAAAATCAACCAACTTACAAAGCACTATTGATTTTCAAGAAAACAATTTGAAAGGTGGTTATTCAACAATATTAATTTATTTTTAGTGCACTACTTCTGTAAGTGATGCCATTATTATCATACTAAGGGAGTAAATCATCACATCTCTATATAAACTAATGAATAATCATTGTTTGTGAGAAATTGTAACTGGTGTTAAGGCACTTAGTAACCAATGAAAAAGAATTGGTTTAAATATGTTTTGCTTATCTGTACCTCAGGTTTTAAGATGTCATGGTACTGTCATCTGGGAACACTGTCATACAAATATCTATTACACTGCAATAATCTCTTATTCTTCCTAAAACAAGGGTAGAAAGTCTCATCAAGTTAACGAAAGGACTTTCAGTGAGTTTACTCATAACTGGACTGATCCTGTAAGCCTTATTTACTGGAGCACTAAAAATTAACAAGATTGGTATTACGTATGGATGAGGAAAAAAATATGAAGTGTTAGCAAATGCAAAAAAGCATAAATGAACAGGTTTTACAGAAAAATGCATTGCTTATAGGAGAATTAAAGATACCATCAGCTCCTGGAGGCCTTGGTGGAAACTCAGAATTTGAATGGCATTAGAGAACTGAGTTGAAAAATGACAGAAAAATTCCTAAAACAGGCACATAAGCAGAGGAAAACACTAATGAATCTCCTGGTGAAATGGAAAGCCAGAGAAATTCTCAATACCCATTCTCAAAAAAAAAAAAGAAAAAGAAAAAGAAAATTCCTTGTACACAGTTTCAGATTTGAAAAAAACCCAAACCTGATGACTGTATTCCCATTCCCCCAACAGAAAAAAAAAGCATATCTATAAAAAAAAAAAAAAAAAAAGAAAAAGAAAAGAGTAACTCTAGAGACAATCATATTTCAGGAGAAATGTTCTAATTAATTTTTTACATTGTTAATTTATTTGGTAGATCCAAATTCCAGTATAGGTAAACATATCCAACTTTAGTCACGGTCTTCAGTCATAAATGATGGGATATACGCCTAGTGGAATTAGAACATCAGATAAATTTTATTCCCTGACTTACGTAAAAATAATTTAAATGAACTCTATTTGCACAAAGATTAGCAGAGCCACTCAAATGAGGAAGATTAATATGGCTCAGCTCTACAAACCCTCTGGATTCCCTTAGCTGGGGAGACAGTGTGCCAACGAAGGGTCTTTAAAAAAAACCCCAAACCCGCTAATTTTCAAAGAACAATATAGTAAGGGTGACTCTAACAATGAAGTAATAAGATGGAGTACCAATTCCAACATCTCTGCTGACATCTAGACGCTGTAAAGTGTAGCTGTCCATCAGTCAGACAAATAAGAAAAGGTAACCCCACACTCAGTGGAAAACGCATTGCCCACAGCAGGCAAAACAAGATGACTCATTCATAGTCTGAAATTCTCAGTTTCTCTAGTGCTTTCATTTCAGAGTGAAGGTTATTTATACAGTTATTTTTTTCTAGCATTACATATGGATAATAAGAATTCCTCTTACTTAACTGTACCTTTCAAAGGACAGAGAAGTAATTTTCCCACAAACACGCTGCAATAACTCTTTGGCCTGACATTTACTTTTTTTAATCTCAGCTGGCGCAAAGAACTGTGATTTTTAAACAACATTTTGTTTTACTGGGCAGTGCACCAAGGATTCAGTCCACAGAGGGACTTAGTACCAAAAACCAGAACACCTACATTCAGGCACTTGGACCTAAAACGGGATTTGGACCCAATGGTGAATGTCTAGGCAAGGCACTTCAGAGAAGTTTCCAAAGCAACTCTCACACTCAAGGGGGAGCCCTGTGCATGAGCCAGTAAGAAACACTGCAAAGACAGATATAACAGAAGGCTTGTGCCTTTCTAGGGCACCTCGTTTGGTGCTTAATGGTATCTTGCCACTCTGGAATCACAGCTAAGATTCTCCCTGGAAAAGTATGTACCTTTCAAGACCCTACTCTTGGAATATTTTTCTTTCTTTTTTCTTTCATAATACATCTAGCAGAGGCACTAACTTAAGACTAACACTCTACCTCCGCTCAATTTCCTCTTTCTTATTGCGAGGCGTCAGTCCACATGTTTCACCTCTAGAGAGTGCCATAATACTAAATAGTCTGCAAGAAGAACTGGACATTTCTTACAGCCTTAACCACTACCCTACTAAATTGTGTTCCTTTGCTTGTAATTATTTTCTATATGGTGAGGCGTGAACATGTCACCTTCACACTTCCCCATAGTTCATAATTTGGTGATTAGAAAAAGATCGTGAAAGATACAAAGAGATGGAAGTTTGATTCTCCCAGAAGTGATACTGAAATGTCAATTCAAGCAATAATGTACCACGTGTAGATCAATGCTGAGCATCTGCATAGAGATCAAATGCTGAGGCAAGTCTCTTATGCAGAGACAGAGTGCTATCACTCTTGGGATCACATTGAAAAGTACTGAGCACCAACGGCAGACTAGAAAAGCTCCATATCTAGTCAGTAAATTATACAAAGTTACTGAAAACATCGGTCATTTTCAACAGTGCTTAAAAAGAGCAACTGGCATGTTATGCTAAGTAATCTTGAGCCAGGCAGAGTCTGAATGGCATTCAGAAAACTCTTTGGACAGCAACAGTTGATCTTTTCTGCACTAGACCCAACATTAATTCAGGATATGAAAAAGCAAAAATGAAGTAGAACCTATGAATTTATTACAACTTCCATTGTTTATTTTAATAATTGCTGATAAAGTGACAAACCCTTGTTATATCATGCTGAGACCTTTCATCAGTCATAGCAAAAACTTGCCATACCCCTGACATCTGTCTGTGAGACTAAAATTACAGTTTGGAAATTATATCTATATTTATTATACCTGTGTTTATATCTATGTGCAGCATAAAGCCAAGAAGTTTATATTTTAAAAAGAAGGGTTCTTCATGTCATTACTTCTGAAGCATAGTCAAATAAAACAATTGAACTCAAAGTATGTTACTAAATTTATCTACAAATTTCAAGACAGTGTATCGTATATGCATAAAAGATGTGTGAAATACTATTTTTCTTTGTTATACAATACTTTACCACTGTTTAACAATGTTATACACAGAGGGATGTACACTAAAGACACACATGTATGACTCACCATGGCTTTTTTCTTCCCTCTCTAAATATAGCTTTATAAACCGAAGTTAAGTGGGCGGGTTTTATTCCCCTTCTTCTCAAAACAGAAGTCAAAAAAATCACAGTAGTTTCTTTCCAGATAGTCATCCCTTTTTAACAATAAGATTTAGCAAAAATTAAAAAATCCCGATTACTTAACAGAATATTAAAGCATCCTTGCTGAACCGGATTACTTATTTGCTAAACTGTGACTGTTGTCAGTACTTCCAATTCAACATTCTAATTCAAATAGCATAGAAAACATGAAAAAACTTTAATATCCTTGAAAATTTCTGCAGAAGGGAAGGTTTGGTGGAGAGCAGAATTGCATTCTGGAGCTTATTTTTCATAGAGAATTCTTAAATTCACTCACAGGTTTAATGAGCATTCCCTTAAACGTCACTGTTACTTATCCACTGGATGCTTTTCTGAGATCAGTTAAAAGGCCTTACCTCAAATGCTTGAAAGGTTAATCCAACATTGTAGTTTTCGGACACTGTTATTTTCCACACACATTCCTTCATTGGTCTGTAGTCATCAGGATAATTGGGAGACTGGATCTGGCCTTCATTTTTGTGGATTTCACCTCCACAGATAGCTGATAAAAGCATAAAAATCTTATTGTCAATAATGACATTTTCTTTTCCCTATGCCTAAACCAACTTTTTATGCTCCCCTTTTAAAACTAATGATAAGATTATTCTTGAGAAGACTTTAAAAGTCTGTCCAGGACGAATTGTTGAAAACAAAATCCATTTAAACCGCTATACATATTTTAGTTAGTGAATATAATTTAGCATTTCTAGTAGCGTTAAACATATCTACAGTGTTTGGGAACACTTTGGAATCTCTGATAATCTGAATCCATATATTCACAGAATATATTTAAAAGGTAAAAGTAATTTAATTTTACTTTTGTTCACCTTTGAAATACATTTAATAAACATTCTTCATTTATATTTACTAACCTTTACAAAGAGATGAGACAAACCTTGTATTTTATAATTATCTGTGCATTTTAACTTACAGTTTATCACTTCAAACTTACACTGAATTTGAAGAAATAGCTACTATAAATAAACAATATTTTCATGAAAAGTAAACGGGCTTTTCAGGGCCCGTACTAATAATCATGTAAAGATCTGTGAATATCAACTATATCACAGTTTATTACCATACATTCAATATTTAAGAAAACAGGTTCTATTTTAAACAGCTGAATGCTGACTTGCTAATAGTGTGTGCGAGTGTCTCTAGTAAGTAATCCCAGAGCATACAGAAAACTTAAGTCACATTTTTCTGAAGAATAAACAGAAAGTATTCAAAGAAATCATTCCACACACCAAGCACAAGAACACGCACATTTAATTGAATGACTGGTAAGAAATGCTTATGACTATTATCAGGGTTATGCCTGGAAAAAGAGTTCAAATAAAATTTGAATGCTCCATCCCTGGCAGTGTTCAAGGCCAGGTTGGACAGAGCCTTGGGCAATATGGTTTAGTGCAAGGTGTCCCTGCCCATGGCAGGAGGGGTTGGAACTAGATGTCCTTAGGGTCCTTTCCAACCCTAACTATTCTATGATTCTATCACAGGAAATGTTTCAAAATGTCGTGTCTAGTAAGTTAACACCTGATGTCTCTTTTAGTAATAATATACCAATTTTGTATTAGATTATTTCTGCCATTTTTTATATATACATATA